AATTATATAGTTGGAAAAACTTCGTTAATTACCCGGTTTATGTATGATACTTTTGATAACACGTACCAGGTAGATGGTTCTTTTTTTTTTTAATTAGAAAGTTTATTTTTGTTAAATTTTGATTAAATATCATTGACGGTTTTAAGGAATTTTCACGTGAATAGGCTACAATTGGAATAGATTTTCTATCAAAAACCATGTATTTGGAAGATAGAACTGTTAGATTGCAATTATGGGATACAGCTGGTCAGGTAATTCATAATAAAATACAATGTTGGGAGATTTTCTAGGAAAATTATGATTTATCTAGTCTCAAAAAGTAAATTCCTTGCAAACCTCCCATGCTTGATTTTTGATAATGAAAATTAACATCATATACATACTCAATAAAACCTTTAGGAACGATTCCGTAGTTTAATCCCGAGCTATATTCGTGATTCTTCTGTAGCTGTGGTCGTATATGATATTACAAGTATGATATCCTTATAACTAATTATTAATTAATCTATTTCTAATGAAATGTTTTGTCTTCATTAAAAGATCGGAATTCATTTATGAATACTGCTAAATGGATCGATGATGTACGTGCTGAAAGAGGTAATGATGTAATTATTGTACTGGTCGGCAACAAGACAGATTTAAATGACAAAAGGTACATTAAAATGTATTTCATCAATATCAGTATTGTTATTTAATTTATTATTTATTCATTTATTCATTTATTTATTTATTAAAGACAAGTAACAACAGAGGAAGGGGAAAAGAAAGCTAAAGAATTTAATGTCATGTTTATCGAAACAAGTGCAAAAGCTGGACATAATGTTAAAACGCTCTTCCGTAAAATCGCTCAGGCTTTGCCCGGAATGGAGAATACAATGAATGAGCCTCAAAATCAACGTATGTTTAATGATTTATTTTTTCCTTTGATAAACTTTTATTATCAAGCTTACTAATATAAAATAAAATATATATCTAGTCATTGATGTCAACATTAATTCTGGCACTCAAAATAACAGCGAAGGAAATAGTTGTGCTTGTTAATTTCTTATAGTTATAGTGTTTAATGTATAGAATAGCTAATGAATGATCTATATATAGACTAACTATTACTTATTATTATATTATTATATCAACAAATATTTTATCTGATATTTTTAATTCACACTTTCCTGCTGCGATTTAACTATTGTACAATATATTTTAGTATTTAAGATAGATTATGTAAAACATTTATGTATTCCTTTTGAAATCTTTTTTTTCAAGTGCAAATTCGGCTGGCACGTGAAGAAATAATTGAATGTGTAATGTAATGTATACAACACTAAACAATACCAAAAATTAATAATTAACGATTTTAAAATAAAAAATTAATATGCAACAAAACCAAGAATATGTTGTCTCATTACTTTGTTGTTTTTTTACTCAGTTCAGAAATATTTTTTTTTCTTATTTTTGTATATACTTTTCTTATTGTTTTCTTTCATTTATTATGGTAAAAAAAACCTTTTAATATATAATATATTTTTCTAATTATCTTAATTCATATTAGATTTATTTATTTTTTTATAATTATAATTAAATATATTGTAATATTTAAATATTTAATTAAAAATGCTTTTGTGCTAGTTAGTTGTAAATTATTAGTAAACTATGTAAAATTTGATAATAATATATATTGATATTTGAAGATTACTAATTAATATAAGTTTTTTTTTATGATTTTTTTAATATTTATATAAATTTAATAAAAATATTAAAATTTAAAACAAAAATAATTTTAATAATAAAATAAATAATATATATATATATATATATTTAAGCTTTTAAAAAAAATTTTATTTTATTAAAATTATTTATATTTGAAATTAAGACTAATCTAATTTGATATCTTATTTATTATATGATCTTAAATACAATCTGTAATAATATTAGAATTTGCAAATAAATTTATTTATATTCATGTAATATATATACAGTAACTCTTTCTATAGTAAATTTTGATATAATAAATTTATAATATAATAGATTTTTATTATGAAATAGATTTTAAATATAAAAAAAACTTGCTATACCAAATTTATTTAAACTAAAATTTATACTATATTTAATAAATTCAAATAAAAAAATTTATATATGTAAATAATACTTTTTATAATGACAAACTTTTTTTTAATATAACAAAAAATTTTTTAGATATGTTATATGTCCTAATTTAAGATTAATAGGTGAAACCTAATCAGGATTTCACAAAATATTAAAATCTTGATTATTAAAATTAAAAAGTTGACAAAATATTTATCAATAATATAATATTAAAATTATGATAAAAACCTTTTAATCAATAGAATTTGGTATTCTTATTCTTAAGATTAATTATCAGTATTTTTAAAAAAAGAAAGTGAAATGTTAAAACTATTTCTTTAATAACTAAATAAAATGCATTATTCCATTTATCTTACCTGTAAACCTAATTTATTGTTTAGCTAAAAATCTCTAAAAAAAAAAGAAATATTAAAATTTAAATATTTTATTATTAAATATTATTATTAATTAAAAAGTATAAATACTATAATATATCTAAATTTATATGCAATAATTATTTCCTATTTAAACTTCAAAATATAATAATATTTAAGTATAATAAAATTTTTAACTAAATATTATTATTATATAATGAAAATTGGTCAGTTTCTAAAACTTTTACTTTTTATAATCCATTTGATATATTAATTCTTGAAATATAACCTGTTAATATTTTAGTATAGTATAACTTTATAATTAAAGATTGATTAAATATTATTAATTTATATTAAATTCAATTATTTTAAAGATAAATATTTAACAGTTTCAATACTTTTTATATTTAAAATACTTAACAATACATCTTTTTCTTATCAGATTCAAAAATTTAATTCATATGATTTTGAAAGTTTAAATTAATTGATAATAATTTTAACTTTGCTAAAACATATAAGAATTTAATATTAGATTAAATAACAAGATCAGTTTCAAAGATAATAGAGTTATCTAATATATGTTAAATTTTGATAGAATAATCTTAAATTAAATTTTTTAAAACCTTGCCTTTTTAGAATTTTAATAAAATCATTTTTACATAAAAATTAGTTATAATAACTAAAGGTTAAATTTGATAATATAATTAATAAAATTAATTGATTTATATTTATTTTATAGTAAAATCACTCAAGATTTACATAAATTTAATAAATCATATAATGAGATTCTTACATGTCTTCTATAAGATATAATTTACAATTTCTGAATTATAATGAGTATATTACAGTTCTATTATTTTTCTACATAATTTGATGATTTTTTTTTAAATTCTTATTATTCAAACATATCTAAAAATTTGAATTTGTTTTAATAGATTAAAAAAAAGTAGATTGCCTAAAACATCTAATGAATAAGTAAAATTTGTATTATATTTTCAATAAAAATTTAAAATTAAGGAATTAATAATTTTCTAGATAAGTTAATATATAATGAGTTTATATAAAAAAAGATTCAATTCTAAAGATATAGATTATACATTATAAAATTTAATATTAAAATTGAATCAAATTTTAATATTTTCACCTTTTCTGTTTTTTCTGTATTATTAAATTCTATATCTTCTTTTTTTCTTAAAGATTTATAAGAGAAACTCTTTTCATATTTACTTTTGTATTTATTATTTGATTGGAATAATTCTTTAATTGTATTTTTTTTAAAAAAAATAAATTCCAAATGAAAAAATAATATTTAAGTGCTATTTATATCATTATTTTATTTAAAAATTATGCTTAGACTTCTTCTAAACTTTTATATTCAGATAATGAAAATAGTTTATTTGTTGATTATCCTTTTATATTATTATTAATAAATATATTTGATATAAAGTTTAAATTGAGTTTGATTGATTTATAAGTTAATTAAAATTTTTTTTCAAATAATTCTAATAGAAGCAAACCTAATTTTAATAAATAGCAAATGTTATATTTAATTAATAAATAGTTTTAATTTTTAGCAGTTTTATATTATAATTTTGATAATATGGGACCTTTGCAATAGAAAGGGGGGAAACAGCCGAAAAAATCAAAAGTGAGTTAATGCTAAATTTGAACATATTTCAGCATAAAAATCATATTTGGCATATAAAGTAAAATTAATTTTTCCCGGCTGTTTCCCCCCTTTCTATTGCAAAGGCCTCATATCATCAAAATTTAAAGGTTATACCCAGGGTTGGAAAGTACAGTATTAGTACAATAATTAGTACAGTTAGTACAGTTAGTACATTATAAAAGTACAGTGGTAATTTTATCTAGTACATACAAAATTTTCAACCCTGATTATACCTGTAAATTTTATAACTAAGAATAATTTTATAATTGTTATTAATAACTTAGATATAACTGAATTTTTGATTTGATACTTTTTATCTTAAATTAGAACTTAAAGATAAATGAATTAATTAATTTTTTGAGAGATTGTTTAAGTATTAAAAGAGTTAATATTTTAATGGATTCTTCTAAAAATCAAAAAAAATGTGAAGCTTTCATTTATTAAATTAATTAAATAAATATAATGCAACTTTTTTAACATCTGAAGCTATTGAAGAAATAGAAATACTTTAAAAAATGCAAGTTATTGTTCATATATAAAAGAAAAAAAATTACCTTACAATTCTTTTGAAGATTTTTCTATTTATTCATATATTGATTAGCAGAATATGTGTTGCTAAATATCTTAGAAGCATTTTACCAGAGATTTCCTTTATATTTTTTAGCAATAGAACCACGTTTTTTGAGCTGTCAAACATTTTTTTGATTTCTTTTCAAATATGTAAGTAAGGTCTTAGTTTCTTCTTTTTTCTATTACATACAGATGCATTTTGATTCGTTTCTTTATTTGAAGAATCAGTTGAGTCTAAGAAGGATAAAATTTCAATTATATAATAATATTTATTTTGCAATTTCAAAAAAAATTTTATTATTTTGTTAATTAGTAAACGTATCAAAGGCAACAAAATTGTTTAAATATGATTGATTTACAAAAGCTGTTATATTATAGATTGATATTGGATGAATTTGACTAGATGTCAAAGACTCTATATGAGGCTCGTTCAGTTGATCTTCATTAACTTCTTGAGAATAGAAGGTTGATTTCTGACTTAGCTGTGAACATCGTTCTATATAATAAATAGGTAATGTTTAACTTTGCTGATTCAGAAATTCTAGATAATCTTCTAAGGTTTAAAATTCGATTGTCATAATATATTTGTAAATAAATTAGAAAAATAAAAAATTAATTGGTTAAATATATACTTTGTTTTTTTCGAAAAAAGATCAATAGATATAATTTGCCTATAGTTAAGGTTCTGTAATTTGATTTAATATTTGAATATTTGATTTGATTAAATTCAAATCAAATAATGATTTATTTGATCAAATTCAAATCAATATTTGATTTATTTGATCAAATTCAAATCAATATTTGATTTATTTGATCAAATTCAAATCAATGTTTGATTCGATTCGATCAAATTCAAATCAATGTTTGATTCGATTCGATCAAATTCAAATCAATGTTTGATTCGATTCGATCAAATTCAAATCAATGTTTGATTCGATTCGATCAAATTCAAATCAATGTTTGATTCGATTCGATCAAATTCAAA